CATCTGCAGAGAAATATTTATCTGCTCATTTGCCAAGCTTCTGCCTATCAAAATACATTGGCTCCTGCAATAGCAGAATGCAATGTTTTCCCTGAATTGAACCTTGTGAATTGCACAATCTGCTTGTTTGCACATGTCCCACCTGTGGGCATACCTTGGATCCTATGTTGGCACAATGAGAATATTGCTTTGCATTTGCATCTGATGACCGATTGCTCTCAGCCTTGCATCTCACACAGTCTGCTCATTTTGAAGGGTTCTGTCTATCAGGATCCATTGAATGCCATGTTAGCAGGTTGAGACAGTCCATATCAACCTTGCATATTGCACAGGCCACTCATTTGGAAGGGTTCTGTCTATCAGGATCCACAGAATGCTGTTTTTGCAGGCTGACATCTTTCTTTGCATTGTTATCCTATTATTAGCCATTATCTTGTTTTGTAACTCTCAAGTGAACACTGTAAATAGCATAGCCTGCTCATTTGCCAGGTGTCCATCTATTTGGATTCATCAGCAGCCATATTAGCAGACTGAGACCATCCTGCTATCTCATTTTTTGAGTTTCAAGTTAACTATTCTATGTCAAAAAGCCATGCATTCACTAAGCTTCCACCTATCACGATACATTAGCAGTTGTTTTAGTAGAATGAGATTATCCTTTGCAATTCTGTTGGCTGTCTAGCCATTATTGTCTTTTTCTCACTCTTAAATAAAGGTTGAATATGCAATGCAGCATGAGTGGTCAATTAAAATGGAAATACAAAATGACATTGTATGTACTGTGGAGGAGTAAAATGATAGATGGCCTCATTCACCCTGCTGTCCTATCTGCCCTTGTCTAATCTGCCAGAGGCCCTAAGAGATTGATGAGATCATCACCCAATGCTTGTCCATATACCCAAATATGCAGAGCCTCTAGTTCACAAGCCATCCTGTCCAGCATCTGCATGGTTTCATCCTGTTGTATTTGGAAATCACACATTTGATCCTTGTAGTATTGGCAGTGGGCCTCAGCATCATGGAGTTGACATTCCAAATCTTTGATTTGCTCTTCAATTATTTTGGACATTTGTGACACCTTGGTGATTGGGGCACAGATGGGTGATGGTGCACTGGGAGTTGCAGCGGTTGTGAGTTGGACAGGTGCCGCTGTTGTCAATGGGTGGGTGTCTGCTTTGAATACAAGGGTTAACTGTGATAATTAGCATAAATGTAGATTGATTAAACATACCTGCTGCCATAGATTCCTCTACCTCCTGCACAACAGATGGGCCAGCCTTGACGATTGAATCCACTCATACAGTGGCTGGGATTGGGTGGGAATCCCTGTGTTTGAATGCAGGAATATGAATCTCTAAATAAAATTTGAGTCAGCATAAATACATGAAATTGTGAACATACTGAGTGAAGATCCCTCAGGGATTGTCTCTCCCTGGTTGGAGGGCCCAACCCTGGCATTGATGGCTTTGGAAGCCATCAAAACATGTCACTTTGGGGGATGTTCCTTTGGACTTTGGGATTCTTGGGCCTCCACCATTGGGGACAGACTTCAAGCTTGCTTTTTTCCCCTGGCTCATGATGGATTCTGTTGAGTTGGAGCAGCAATCCTGCCTTTGGCATGGCTACATCAAATTTTGCAACTGTCACACAGGAAGCAGGACTTCCTGGGGTTCTTGTAGCATCAGACCTTGCATCTGCAGCACAAGTTGCAGGAATGGGGGTCAGGGGAAGGCATCCTTCTGGCAGCTATGGCAGTGCAACCATATAGTCCATCCAATGGTGGACAAGGCTTGCATTTCAATTGGCCTTGAGCAGGAATGTCTTCATCATTGTTGGTTTCTGCTGTTGCCTTCCTAGAGCAGGATCGATGTCTGGATTGATGGGACGTCATTTTCATGGCAGCTTTGTGCTTCTGCCTGCCTCACACTGGTTCTTCCTCATCGTCCTCCTTCTCTGGCACCTCATCTTCACCCTCATCATCCACCTCCATCCTGTGTGAGCTATCTGCTATCATTTGCTCCACCTCTGCCTTGGTCACTTTCCATTTTCCTTTGTTGCTCATAGGCATTTTGGTCTCTTGAGCAGGTGGTGTTGGTGTTGGCACAATGTGGGGCATAGGGAGGCCCAACCAGTGGTAGTCATATTGATGCTCGATGATGTCAAGCCACTTGTGGTTGGCGATGTCAGTTTTGGAAGGGGATAGGGCAGTCTTCCACTCAGGCCACAGGTGCTCAATTGAGCCAAGGTCTTCATGCCACTTTAAGAATGTGTTAACACTGATGAGGTCATGTACAGCATCCTGAATGCATCAGTTAGTGAAAAAAATGTGATGATGCTATGACACACTAGTTCATCGTTTATCACCTTGATGGCACCTCTCCACTTTGCAATCTTGTCTGCCTTTCCCAGCTTGCTGCTTTCCATGATATCCTTGAAGTAAATTTGAAGGATGCAGTTGGCCACAGCATTGAGCTCAGGCAATTTCTTGAAGAGCTTGTGAGACAATGACAATGACATGTTTCTGATGATGAGACGATGGAGTAGTTTGATGGTGAGTGTGGTGATGGTGATTGGAGAGTGGAAGAGTCAGAGGTTAAGATGGATGACAAGATATGTGGATGTTGCATTTTTTATCCTGCCTATGAATGATTCCCACAGCATGATGGCAATACCAGCACAAGTCAATAATCCTGAATGCATATATGAAGCAGAAGCTCAGATAAAAATATGATGTGTTGTTCTGGAATAGCATTGCTGTTTGTTTTGCCCATCTGCTCCAATGGCAGAGCCTGGCTCACAGCTACATAGACCAGCACCTGAGATTCCAACTAAATAGGCAAATTGTCCAACATGAAACACAATTTATAGTGGGAAATTCAGATACTCTATAGTGCAAGAGGTTCCACTTTCTTCATTTCTTGTCTTCCTGGGCCCATCTTATGCAGTGCCAAGGGTTTGTAATCCTGTGATGGATGGATTGGCCTGTCTTATGTTGTAACACTGGTTTTTGTTTTCCCTTATCTGCTGCCTGAGAATACCATGGATGGGCCTGTCCTTATGTAGATCCCTTTGATCTCCCTTTCTGCTGCCTGAGAATGCCTTACACAGACCATCCTTATGTAGATAGCTTGGATCTCCCTTTCTGCTGCCTAAGAATACCATACACAAACTCATCCTTATGTTGCAACAGGGGTGCATCTTGCTAGATGGGCCCATCCATTTGTTGTGATGATATACATGATACTACTGAAGGGCCTGTCCTTATGTTGTGATGCTATTAGATGATATTACTGATGGGCTCATCCATATGTTGTGACAATAGAAACAATACTACTGAAGGGCCTGTCCTTATGTTGTGATGCTATTAAACAGCATTACTGATGGGCCTGTCTTTATGTTTCGACAGGGTACATCTTACTGGGGCTGGGCCTGCCCATATGTTGTGACAATATAAATAATACTACTGAAGGGCCCATCCATATGTTGCAACTCTATTAAGTGATATTAGTGATGGGCCTGTCTTTATGTTTTGACAGGGCATGTCTTACTGAGGCCAGGCCCACCCATATGTTGCAATGATATAAATAATACTACTGAAGGGCCTGTCTCTATGTTGTGACAATATAAATAATATTACTGAAGGGCCCATCCATATGTTGCAACTCTATTAAATGATATTAGTGATGGGCCTGTCTTTATGTTTTGACAAGGTACATCTTACTGGGGCTGGGCCCACCCATATGTTGTGACAATATAAATAATACTACTGAAGGGCCTGTCCATATGTTGCAACTCTATTAAATGATATTAGTGATGGGCCCATCTTTATGTTTCGACAGAGTACATCTTACTGGGGCCAGGCCCACCCATATGTTGTGACAATATAAATAATACTACTGAAGGGCCTGCCCATATGTTGTGATGCTATACATGAGATTACTGATGGGCCTGTCTTTATGTCTCATCAGAGGCACATCTTACTGTGGACGGGCCTGTCCATATGTTGCATAATACTACCAACAGGCCTGACCTTATGTTGTGACTCTATTAAATGATACTAGTGATGGGCCTGTCTTTATGTTTCAACAGTGGTACATCTTACTGTCGACAGGCCCATCTATATGTTGTGACATTATGAAATGACATTACTGACAGGCCCATCTTTATGTTGCAACAGGAGTATGGCTTATTATGAACAGGCCTGTCTAGATGTTGTGACACCATAAATGATATTACTCCTGGGCCTGTCCATATGTTGCCAGCTTTGTATTCTAATCATAGACAGGCCTGTCCTTATGTTGTGACCCTCTCCATGTTATGATAGGCAGGCCCACCTTGATGTTGCAACAGGGGGGTAACCTACCAGGACAGGCCTGTCCATGTCTTACAGCAACTCAGTATACTTAATTGGTCATGGGCCCATCTAAATGTTTCAACATCCTTACCCACCACAGGCACTCCCATATGTTGTGGTAATGCACTTACAGGCCTGTACATATGTTGCTCTCACTTTAGTCCCTCAGACCTGTCCATGTGTACTGGCTAATCTATTTAGGCAGGCCCATCTCAGGGTCTATATGAGTGTTGGTGTTTTGGCACACAGGCTGCCCATGTGTTGTGACTAAATGTGACTACACTATGTGTCATATTATGACAGGTGCACCTGACAAAGCAGCCAAGTTCAACACTGCACTGGAACAGGAGTCTCATATTACACCATCAAGGCATCCACTATATTTGTAGGCTTCTTTCTCCCAAAATCACATGGCAATGGCTCCTCTTTTGTGCAGGCTTTCCATGGTTCTCCAATGAAGAATTGGCACTCAGTATGCATAGTTCTTCTATGAACTTGTCCTTTTCTGATTCTCTTGGTTTAAGATCATCTGTCACGGACTACATTACAAACACATTTCCAACGGACGAAGCCATGGAAATAGTTAGCCCTGACTCTTCCCTTCCCGCCGACTTCTAGACATGTTAATACTGCTACATATCCAAGGATCTACTTCGCAGCAGATGGCTCAGTGTCAGTGTCGATGTATGCCAGCCCAAATTACTCAAGATGGGGAGGCAGCAACCTCAAGCCCAATAAATGCCTTGTACTTGCAGAGATCGTGAACGTTCCGTCGAGATTCGTGTGCAGGTTTCCGTATTATGTCGTAAATAATACAGATCGGATCATGTGGTATGTCTCCATGTGCCATCCTCAACTGCCGTATGTGAGCGCATACCTGATCGCCTTCCCTTTTTCTCTGGCCTTCTTTAGTTGGTATTTGTTGGTCGACTGTGGAGATCATGAACCCACACAAGAAGTTATCCATCCCAACAGTCCAAGAGGTGTATTCCTAGAACAAGATCCACAATATGAAGCTAGGGTCCAAAATGTACCGATCGACACACCGAAACCATCGCATCACCTTGACAAGATCCTAGAAGAGTACCGTCGAGCACAATTATCAGTAGAGTATGACCAAGATGACATGTCAATCTTCGGGGCAGTGGACGAGGTGCAACAAACTGTCACGCTAGCCTTAGTTCCCCAGCTATGACTGCGGATGTGGCGGTGACAACCAATACCCCCCTCAAACGATTCCCAGACCATGAATGGACAGAGAAGAATGTTCTAGACTTGCTTCCACCCCCTATCGAGTCCTCCAAGGTAGCTACCATGGCTCTGGCCCAACATCATTGACACAATTGACCATGGGATATTGACGCAATGATCCGTCTTTCTTTCTTTTCTTACCTGCAGACCGTACACTGCCAAGGAGGCCTTGAACGGATACACTTGCGCGGCAGCTTTGCATGGGTGGAAGGTTTATTCACTTTGCTTGTGTCAATGGTTCCATTTACATGCCTCACATCTGCTCAGGTATTGAACACAGCAGAGATCAAGATGCTCGTGACCAGCCATCAAAAGGAGATTATATTGTAGAGGGTCTTTCATTTTTGCATGTATTCGACCACAACGGGCAACATAATCGTCGCTCTCTTGACACGGAGCTTAGAGTAAGATCAGTTAAATGGCACATGTACTTACACTAGTTAGGGAAGGTTTTCGCAGATGTTCTGGGACAATGGATCCTCGTATCAATATTCACTAGCATTGTTAAGTCACTCCCATTGTGACTGTTCCATCATGCCGATTCTAAGGACCTCTCGCAAGCTGTTCGCTCACACAGCGAATTTTCCACTGAATAGTACCCTGTTATATGTAGTACAATATGTCAATCTCACACTTATAGTGGAAAACTCGCTGTGTCACTTGATCGTAATACTCTGAAAACGACGAGTACCGACCACAGCAAGATCACCTGGTTTACAAGGTCAACTGCACCCCGAAATTCATCACACATTTTTTGGCAACTGTGATCCTCCTGAAAACAAAGTACGATTCAAATCATGGTGGCAATGAATTGTAGGCATGTAATTTTGTAGGATTGTAGGCTTAGCCCATCCAAGTTCAATGCCAATGCACTGCCATGCTGTGTACTTGCAAACAAAGATGGGGAGACGCTGTGGAGACAGAGTTGACAGCGGAGCAATGAACAGTATATGACCTTTAGACATTGAAATCTCGCATGTAACTTATGGGGATCTATGTCGGCATCCGTAAACAAGGTGCCTGCCGTCCCCGACGGCCCTATCTTCTGGTGTGTTTATATTTGTCAAATCAATACACCATAATAACCATTTATTGCCGACACTTGTGATGACAGTTTTCCAGGTGAGTGAAATACGGTAGGTACTTCTAGGACTCCCTAGAAATAGAGCATGAAATCTTTTTGCACAAATAATGTACCAAGGGTGGCGGATGGCGGTGCTCGTTTTCGGGTCCAATCGTCCTGACGCTCGAAAAGATCTCTATTTCGGCTTTGCGCCTCATCTTCAAAACACGCGTGAGAGCGTTCCTGTGCATTGGTCAAGATGAGTTGTGCAACTCCAAAATAGGTTGATATGAGACACCTCCACTCTGCTGGCATGTTTTCCGGGGGCCGACAAAGCATCTTGCGAGCCTACATACCGTACCAAGATTGAGGGACGATCATGAGGCATTTACGAAATTGTGAACCTTTCTTTCGTCATGCGTTGTTAAGGGAATCAGCGTGTTGAGATCGGTCCTGAATCTGGAGCAAAAAAAAAGTTCCATGTGTGACATACCAGTACATCTAGCGCAAGGAAATTTAAGCTCACTCAGGTAGCTCAGAAATTTTGATACCTAACCACTCCACACGACAAGCAGCGAGACTTTCGTTCTCGTGTCGTAAGCCGTGGCTACCGTACTTATACACCGAGAGTATGTCGAGACCATATGGGTCTGCGTCCACTAGAGCAACGATGGGGATACTGAAACATGTCAGCAGTATAAAGAAAGATCTAGGAGGCAACTGACCATTGGGGAAGGTTGTCGGAGAGCATCTTGACTAGATGACGGGTTGCGACGTCCGGATAACCCTTCCCCTACAACGGTCGGCTAGTATCAGTGAGATTAGCAAGTTCACTAACCGTTACAATTAAACCTGGACCCGGAAGGCCTGGGTACTTTGAGAAATTCAATTGGCAGAGTGTCTGAAAAATTGCCTTCGAAGGAGTGATGTTTCAGGGCGGGCAGCTTCAGATATACGATGATTACCTCCTTTTCGACGATTAGAACCCATGCCACACGACTCTCAAACTCAAATTGGCCAATGTCTTCTCCTGCGGGGATTAGTGTGCCCTATATTTCAGTGTTAGCATATATACAACCAACCTAGCCCACATATAACTTCCACCTGGTGATCATTCAAACGCAAACTCGCTCCCCCAATTAAACGTATAACCAGGCAACTTCCGCAGATCAGTCCCTTCGACGTAGCTCGCTGTAGCAATTTAAATCAGTTATTGAACCAAGCGGTCCGGTTATTGCCCACAATATTCAGATCGGCTCGGTCCCATTGTAGAGTGGCCGCTAAATCGTCGATAAACTACAAATTTATTAGGTTAAGTTCTCACACAAGAGGGGCCGGCAGATACCCGATCGACAATCTTTTGGGATTTGAAGAGGGCGACATCTTTGTAGTAAATGCCGCTGAGGTGGCCTGTATGCGCAGGTCAAGAGCAAAAAAATTAAAAAGTCATCCTACCGCTTAGTTAATGAGAAGCCTTGTTCAAGGGCTCGGTGAGCATAACTCATAATTTTTAGTAGTTGGGCTTGAGCAATTTGAGATCCTCAATACAACATCGTATTTCGTAGTACCTATATGCTTGGAGCTTGCGCAACTTCCTCGAACTGGATAACGAAGTACGCGTCGGCTCCAACAAATATACATCATTGTGTTTCGGGTACCGAAATATAATGAACGTACTTACTCATCTAGTCCTCCCTTACTGCGGTCTGAGACGGTCACCTCCAGCCTTCCGTACCTCGCAAACTTGAAAGGGGCAAGGCCGTGAGCATTGGTAGTGTACGGTGTAAGGTTGTTTGGCCTTATGATCGATGTAACCATTTGCTGGACGATATCCAGGGCAAGTCCCTCTAGGCACTCCATTACCTTGCTTGGGTTGTACCGGTGGTCAAAACTAATATTAAAGTCAGAAGTATTGTAACTTACAGACACCGATCGTCACTTCCAGCCTCTTTGTCTGACTTGTGTTGGGCACCTGTAGTTAGTATGGGGTTAGGTTTCTGCATGACTGAAAAACCTGGGTGTAACGATGAGCCAAGTACAGATAACCTGGAAGGAGGTGGTGGTAGCATGGAAAGCCAGACCATCTGCTCACGCCACATAAATTTCAAGCTCAGCCCCGTTCGCCCGACGACTTCCTATTTTAGGTTCGGCGAGACCAAGCTGCATCTGCAAAACTACCCAAGGGAATACCAGTCCACTGTTGGAAATACATAGTCACACTATAGCAATAGGCTATACTGGGTATGACTCTTTTTAGGAACATAGTGTGTGGAGTGGCTGAGCTGACATTCTTTTAAGCAGGAATGTGAGACTGGGCAAGTGTATTGTCACTTGAGGGCAATGTGATCAGCTGAGTCTTCAGGGCAACAAGCCAACATTCTCATCTCATAGGGCACCCTATGCTGTACTTTTGAAGCTTCACTCTCAACCCTGTTGAGAAATAGTGCAACTGTGATTGTGGCTGCTTGTCAAAAGCTGAGACTGAAGCTTCACATGATGTAATTATGTAGCCACACCTCTTGCAAAGTGCCACCTCCCCATGCCTGCCTGCCATAGATAACTGCATAGCCACTGACAAGTTAAAAATACCACTAACAAGTTAAAAATACCACTGGCCTGCTGCTACTCCCAATTCACATCTGCATTTGGTATATATAGAAATTTCCTGCCCTACTGCCCTGTGGTCCCCTGGGTCAGCTCTCTTGCCATACTGGGCTCTATGCTTTGCTGGCAGGCATAATATATGATCATTAACATGCAGTACAGCCTATGGGGATGCAGGATTGAGCACACTGCAAATAGTTTGGAAAGTGTCAGGAGAGGAAAGGGCTACCATTATTATATGGGTGGCCTGGACAGCACTTTCAGCTCTTCCAGAGGTCACACTAGAGCATATTCTCCTTCTGCCAGTAGAAGAAAACTGGCAAGGATGTCCCAGTTTGAGGTTTTCCTTAATCTAGCTGGAACATTTTGATGACCCTGGTCACAGTAGAGCTCCCAGACCAGGTTTAGAGGAGATTTGATGAGCAGAAAGGCCAGATTCAGAAAAAAGGTGGATATTTGCACTAGCAGAGGCAAAAATGCATTTCATGGTGAAGTAGGGTTAGCTGAGTGGGACCCAAGCCATTTTTATGGCCCAGGATTATGTACATTACATAATCAGGCAAGATTGAAGCACAACATCCTGCAGAAGTTTTCAAATTCCCATGTTATTTACTACATAACAACCAACAACATCATGCTCAAAAAAGTGTCCCAATGACATATCATTTTAAAATGGTGATATCTTGGTGCCATGACAACCAAATTACATAAGAATACCCTTGTTGTTCAGGCAATGGCTAGTGCTATTGTTAGTCATGCAGGTGTTTAAACTAATTCCTATTGGTTGTCTCATAAATCCCAAATCTTTCCAAAACCACCCAACATTGGGACACTTTTTTGAGCCACTATAGTTGAGTATATCAGTGGCCCTGAATACCTTGAAAATGCGATAGGGGTAAAAAGCAAAAAAGTGGACACTTTTTTGATACATTGGACATATCTATTTGGTTTTCATGTTTCCTTCAAGGGAATATGTATGCCTAGAACATATCCAAACTTCATAGCCCTGGGGTGCTTTACATGTGGAGACACAATCACCTCCTTCCTGTATATCACCATAGAAGGATTTTTCTGGGCCTTTTTGTGCTGGTACTGTAACATAACATGGTATGGTAGTTACACTTAGTGTATTGGTGCATAATTGAACCACACATCAGGTGTCTAAGAGGCTCTGAATAGCTAGAAAGGATTTCAGGGGTTACAGGCAAAGAAGTATTCGCAATTTTGCAACATTTGATATATGCATTTGAGAAGGACATTCCCTTGGGCCCTCTGTACCCATATATTATCACAAGCTCATTGAATGAGGTGCAGTTCCTGATGTGTTGTGCCATGGTCTTCCCCTGATGGTATATAGAGACTCCATCAACTTCCAGTCAGTATATCACTATTCTAACTATCTAGGGATCTACAGAATACTCAGTCACAGTCAAATAATCAATGCCAAGTCCACACCTGAAGGGGGGAGAGCAGGGGAAGGGAAACAATCACCCAGAGAGTGTGGGAAAATGCACAAAAAGTTGCTGAGACTTTCAAAACACATCAAAAAGATGGAATGACACATCACACACAGGGCTGTGACTGAGTATTCTGTAGATGCCTCAATAGTCAGAATATACTGCTGAAGCCCCTAAATACCAGGAGGGGAGGACCATGGCACAACACCTCAGGAACTCCACCCCATTCAATGAGCTTTTGATAACATATACAGTAGGTTGCTCTAATATACATATACTGCATGTTAATGATCATATATGATGCTTGCCAGCAGAGGATAGAGCCCAGTAGGGCAGGGGAGCTGACCAGGGGACTACAGGGCAGTAGGGTGGGAAATTTCAATATATACCAAATGCAGATGTGAATTGGGAGTAGTGGCAGGCCAGTGGTATTTTTAACTTGTCAGTGGCTATGCAATTATCTATGGCAAGTACACTGCAGGCAAAAGCATGGCAACCTCGCCACTAATCTGAGCTTCAAATTCACTTGCAACAAAAAAATTTGGGAGTGCTGAACAAGTGCCTTGAAGCACCCTGAAATTTGTTGATAGTATGTAACTTTCTAGCTTCATATCTTCTGAGATTGCTACAAGTACAAACAAATGTAAATAGGCTCTGACAGAATACATGAATTTTAAGAGTGAGTCACAAAAGTTAGCCCTCTGACGAGGCATCTTTGTTGAAGATATCAGTCTGATGTCATAGGTTCCCAAATCAGGCAACAACTCATCATCATCATCACAAAAAATGACCTCTGATGACCCCCATACTTCAAATCTGCCAATACATCACAGGCCCCCTCATAATTGTACTGCATTTGAACTGAAAATGACAATGTAAGACTCCTTTTTGAAAGACTCTGGGCAAAGTTCATGGTGAGATTCTTGCCATAAAACCTTGATTCCATACATGACATCAGGGCAAGGCATTGAGCTGCTTGACTTTTGTTGGATGGTGACAAGCTACTTTCTACTGGACTATGTCCAATGCTACCTAGTGAACCTGAAGCCAGAGCAATGCTTATGAGGCTTCTATACACCATCATCTGTTTCTCTTTGTATAGGTGCCTGTTGCCATGCTTTACTTGTGCATTTTTTGCAGCATGCCACTGATGGCTGATCTGGTTCCACTGCAGTGCCTGTAACTCCACTGCTGATTGCTGCTTGCCTGAGTGAAATCCCACTGACTGCAAGCCAGTTATGGTTTAGAGTTTGACTGTTGCCTGGCCTATTAAATCACTCATTTACCAAGTACTAGATGAAAGCCATGGTTCATAATGTTACTATTTGGACATTGTTCTGACAGTACCAGTTACAGTGAGGGACAAAAGCATTGCAATGTTTGTGAGGTGTGACTTGCTGCCAATGTAGCTTGGACTATTCTGCACAGATAATTGTGATACCTATACCATTGGAAAGGGGTGACTCTAAGCTTTCCAGAGCACTAAGGATCAGTCCAAAAAAAGCAACACATGCTGAGATACACCCTATTCTTTCCAAAAAGTGCATTGCAATGCTTTTGTCCCTGACTGGTGAAATAGTGAAAAGTGACCTTTTGATGGGATTGATGGCATGAAGGATGGGAAAATATGATTACATAATAAACCACATGGTCTTCCAGATGATTTGTCAGCATGTAAACAATGACAAACATTGGATTTGTACCATTAACCCTCCCTCTTTTACCACAATTCATGAAATCATGTCTCTAGCTCACATGGTCATTTCCTCAAGGAATTCTTATCAAATACTGGTGGCCACCACAGTGCCATCAGTATAGCATGCTCTCAGAACCATCAGTCCCTTAAAAAACCTGCTGTCAGTCATTCCCTGGACTGTTTCCCCCCCCAATGCCTAATGTGTTTTGGGACTAATCAGTACTTGGAAGGCTGAGAATGTTTTGGAGGTCAATCTGGCACTTCAGAACATGATGGACAAACTAGCCCCCTCTCAACCAATGGATTTCTGGCACAGGAACACTGGTATGGAAGTTAGGGCAAGACAAAATCCTCTTTACCCCTGGGTGTCATCAGAAGGATATGCTACTGAACTGCCATGGAGCAGAATCCTGTGCTTCCATCTGGCCCTGAACATTGCCTTTGGTCACATATGACCAAATAATCCCTCCCCAGTCATCTACAGTTCAGATCAGAGCACAAGGAGGTTGTGTCTCACCCCAACTTCCATACCAGTGTTCCTGTGCCAGAAATCCATTGGTTGAGAGGGGGCTAGTTTGTTCATCATGTTCTGAAGTGCCAGATTGACCTCCAAAACATTCTCAGCCTTCCAAGTACTGATTAGTCCCAAAACACATTAGGCATTGGGGGGGGGAAACAGTCCAGGGAATGACTGACAGCAGGTTTTTTAAGGGACTGATGGTTCTGAGAGCATGCTATACTGATGGCACTGTGGTGGCCACCAGTA